TAGTCTGTTCCATTCATTTTATTTTGTGAGACTCACATTTATTTTATGAGATAATAATAGTAAATCTAAGTTCGAAGTGAATTTTTAGAAGTCCCTTTCCTAGATCCTCCATTACAGACTGTAACAATTCAATACAATCGATATCAGCCTCCTTCTCTTCAGTTTCTTATCAATTGAAAAAGGTGCTAAACAACATTAATAACAAGACTTTTACTATGAACAATTTCAAAATGTTCGACAACATTCCTTGAAATTTGCTTGATTCCAATATGTTTGAAGGTGCTTGAGATACTGCAAGTGTTGGCTTTTTGCGTAGATAATAGTTTACATTCAAAATGTTAATGATCATAGGTACTCATGCATTGATTTATCACAGTTGTTATGTGATCAACATAAAAAGTGTGAATTGAGAATCAATATTAGTGTTTGTGAGTTGATCAATATATATCTATTCAAGATTATCTAACTGCAACAGAACATTCAAGGAGAAACCATTTAACATGGATCGAATGTCTTTAACACTGAATCACCCAAATCAAACGACTAAACATCATAGTATCGATGCATTATGTTATTAAATTTTGAATTTTAATAATGTATTGGAATATTATTAGAAAACCTCGCAATTAACCGATTGATATTGTCTCGAAAATAAAACATTTGTTAATCCTTTTGTATCGTGGCACAACAGAATAAATGAAGAAAAACCTTGAAAGAACATATAATCTGATAATCTGACGATATCCACCTCAAATAAAATATAGTATTCCCAGCAAGATAGTTAAAAATTGATCAAATGATTAGGAATATATAAAGACTTTCGAGTTGAAATGGACTCTTCTTAATAACTATGAATGATAACTGCATAAGAGTATAACAACACTTCATAATTAAAAATGGTGTATTTCTTCTTCCTTTTCCTCTTTTCTAGGATAAAATATTGCGAGTCTTATTCTAGAGTCGTAGTATACCAGGATGAGGATCTCCAAAAAAACTAGTATTCTCCAGAAAACCTTGCAAAAACTTCTTCTAAAGTTTTTTCTTCGAACACGTACCTCCTTATTTTTAGTGGTCTATCTCTGCGAAAAATTTCAGCTTGATCAGTTCTTCCGTCTTCAAGAACCACCAAGTGTCAAAAAAAGAGGAACATCCTTAAATTTTTTATTAAATTTATCTTTATTTTGCAATTTTAAAGAGAACAGAGCGAATTTATCGGTATTATTGACTAATAAAAGATTATTTTAAGAATCTATTTTAGATAGAATAAATCATAATCATCGAATATTTTACTTTTTAAAGTAAAAAGATTTTTATTTTCGAATCTGAAATAAAATAAATAATTAATTTTAAATAGATTTATTTCGATATCTGATATATTTATTTTATTTTTATTCTTCGAATAAGTTTAAAAGAAAAAAAAAAGCATTTAGAATTTTTGTTTTATCGATGAAAAGACAATTGGTATATTCTTTTTTATATTCTTACTATAGATTCCTTTTATCTTGAGGATCAATCAGAATAAATTAGACTATTTCGCCATTTTAATATTTCTTTCTTATATGGAAATAAATAAGTGTCATGTCTTTACTAAAATATTCCTCGTTCAATTCTCTATAAAAACTCTCTTCAATGTTTTATTAAAGAATCTCAATATGAAAAATTTCATGAGAAATTGTCAATAATATCAAAATGATAAAAAAGATTCTGACATCTTCAATTTACTCTTTTATTATATTCATTCAATATCAGACTATTTTATTTTAATACATTGAAACTCTCTCTAAATTGATCCTATCATTTAAATATCCTTAAAAAAATCTTCGACCATTTTAAATATCTTATCGAAAAATTTTTCATATTGATAAGAACATATCTACTATTTATATTTAAATAACTTAATTCGAAAACTAAGGTTCTTCGATAAAGATTTACCATGAAAATAGAATATGTTTCGATCGATCGTTGACATTATCTAGTTTTTATTTTGATTTATTTTAACGAAAATTATACTCTTTTAACTAATTTAATCACCATTGAATATTCTTAATACATAACCTTCAATCAGAACTCAAACTAAATATTCTTATTGATTTAATTAGGTCTTTATTCTCTGCTACTAATATCGAACAGAGTTTATCTTTAATCTACTAGAATAATAGATAAGGTCAATGTTTAATATCATCTTCATATGGTTAACATTCTAATCAACTCATTTTACTTTGGAATAGAATTGAAAAAACTCGACGGACCTGTGTGTCTGTCTGTCTGTCTTATTCTAAGAGACATAGGATAGACAGATCGATATCATAATTCTAGATTATTCAAATAAAATGACTATAACAAAATTTCAATGAATTGTTCGAAAAAAAGCGTATAGAATAAATTGTTATATAAAATATAATATATTATTGAACCATATTTTTGTTAAGAGATGAGTTGATTAACAAAATCAATTACTTTATCTGACTGAAGAGCAATCGATAACGACATTACTCGTTATGTTTATTTCATCATTAAGTTAACATTTTCATTCATTTGAAGACGCACCATTAATCGTTTATTTGTTTATTTATTTTTATTGTTGATCTAATAAGATATTCTACTCATTTATTAAAATCTTTTACTTTCAGAAATAAATCATTTTAGAATTGAATAATTGAAAATAAAATGAATTTTAAAATAAATTTTCTGAAAATTGTTTATTTGAATTGGTAAATTGGTATATAGGATATATATTGATAATATAGATTTGTAAAGATGGTGATTATCTATTAAAATATAGTTAAGATTGTTTTAATCAATATTCGATTAATGATTTCTCAATATACCGATCAATAACGAAGATAAATAATATTGAAGATAAGTCAAATGATTGATAGAATATAGTTTTACTTTTATTTGAAAAGAATTTTATTTTCTATGAATATATTCTATTATTGAATAAACTCGTTCTTATTTTTACAAATTATTCTTTTCAAATATTTTCATCTCAACAAAAAAAAAACACAATTCTTTTCAGATGATATATTCTCGATACTCAATCGCGGTTATTCAATCTATCTATAACTAACATTTTCATATCGAAATGATTTTTTTTTTGTTTTTTATTCATCTCTATATAAACAAATCTTTATCGAAAATTCCCTAAAATGATCGTAACTCATCTCAAAAGGGTTAATCGAGAGAAATTATTGAATAGATATTATAATCTTATCGATAGATAATTCTAGTTAAAAGATGAATTCAAAGTGTGACTACTAGTTCGAATGATTATTTCGTTAGAAAACAAAATCTTGTCTCTTTTAGTTGTTCCTTTATAAGAGTTCGAAGTGTGTAACTGAGAGTTTCATAAAGATAATCACTTTTGAGAATATATAAATAAAGATTAGGATGATTTTATTAACGATCTCCATATTCTATTTGATCAATATAAATAAAAAATAATTTCTGTTGTATTTATTATATTGTCTAACTATAAAATGATATCATTCGAATTAAATAAAATAAATTGTTTAATCAATATTATTGTTATGTCCACCAATAAGGTCAATAAGAATAAACTGATTGACCAAAATGATATCCGTTTAACAAATATCTTTATCTTAATCATATTCAATATAATCAATATAATCAATATAATAAAGGGATTATCTTCATCATAACGAATAATATATTCATCAATTTGACAATGAATTAAATTTCAATGTAAAAAAAGAGTAGCTAGTCGAACAGGTTAACATAAACCAGTTAACATTTCTCGAATAAATATTCAATCTTTAATTATTTTATTTCGATCAATCATCAAATATATTTGACTAACTTATATTTAAATATATCAGAATTTATCAACTAGAATTCAATTTGAATGATATCACAAAAAGAAAAACAATACATTAAAAATGTTTTCATTTATAATATAATCTCTTATGTTAATAAGTTAAAATGAACTAAACTCATTTTCTATAATATAAGATAAATATATCTCTCAGATAGAGATATTTATTTTCTCATTTATATAATATATATTTCGAAACTCAATTTAATAATGCATTTTCAATATCTATTAGACAAGTCGAACAAATCTTTTTTTTTTTTATCTCAATATTTAATAAAACTAAAATAGATATTCAGTTAATCAATCCGAAATAAAATATTATCAACAATCGAAAAGAATATTCTTTTAAATGAGCACATTTTATATATTAATATAACAATATTTAATATAGATTCTATCAACTATTGAAAATTTCATTCAATTTTAATTATCAAAATTAATAACAATGGTATTAAATCTCTAAAATAAATAATTCTCTTTGATTAAGACAAATCGAATAAAAATCAAATGAATATATTCTTATTTGTTTATATTTATGGTTATTATCAATAATTATTAGATAACCAAAGGATGTATATCTATCTTTCCTTAGAACTCTTATGCTCAGAGACATCCACACATTTTTATTGATACCTCTATTCAATAAATTAATTTATCATATAGAATCAACTTGAGTTCAACGTAAATAAACAAATCTCGACTATTTTTATCAGATAAGTTTTTTTTTTGTTGGAAAATATTTATTTCCACTTATTAATCAAAAGATTCGATTGACCATACCTCACCTCTTTCTTTTTTCCAATCTTCGAAATTAAACGATAGATAGCGCTAATTCAGAAAATCGACCTATAATAACAACATGTATATTGACCGATATGTTAAATTTAATTGAAAAAAATTCGACTATTATTAGAAGAGAAAAAAATCTCGAATAGAGTATAGATCTAAGAGTAAAACTGTTCGAATATAGATATAATATAGTATGTGGCGCACATTAATATCATTGGTCAATATTATTCTCAGGCTCGAAACAAAGAATAAACTGAATCAATTGTTTCCTATTCTCGTCTATTAAAAGTTTTTATTTTTCAACTGATAATCTCTGAATTAATTTATCTTAACATATATTTTTGTTTTAGTAGAAATAAAAATAAAGATAAATAATATGAAATCATCAACAGGTCAAATAAATAATAATCGAAATGTTGAAAATCAACCAATACCTTCGTAATTAAATAATTATCTTCATTCGATTGTTTTATAAAATATTTCATTTTTATTTATTGATAGAGAATATTTTTTGTCAAATCATTCAAACAAACATAATCATCAATTATCTGAACAACCATCATCATCACATTCTAATGCTGATTTAATAACAGATCATTTAAATCAAACAAAAGAACCATCAAATACAACCAATGGAACACCACAGTTTGTTTTACTTTTATTCAATTAACACGTTTTTTTTATTTATTAGAAAACATATTTATTTACTCGAATCAAACCTTTTTTTTTCTATCATATTCAAATAATATTTCGTCAGTCTAGACTCGTTTTCAATAATCGATATCGATTAATTCAATTAAATTTAATTATTGAATAAAGTCAGTCAATATAATCTAATTTATCTTTAAATAAATAAAGGAAAAGTTTATAATTATCTTTATTTTCAATTCTAACTTGAATTTTTTTGACATAAAAAAATCTCTATATAGACCATAATCACATTATTTTTCACAGTTTTATTCAATATATTATTTATTCCGATAAGCGATCAAAGCAAAGTTTAACGTGCTCTTCTTTCAGCAAGAGTCAACTCGATAGTGATCAAAATTGATTTAGAATGAAGAGAACCATCATACTTACCCCTGAAACAAAATATTAAATAAAACTGATTCGAAATTGAAGAGAAAAGTCACCTTTACTCTTTTTATTTGGTACACTTTTCTACTTATTAATAATCAAGTTTCGAACATTTTTCGTCAAAATTCATCCATAAGACCGAATGGAAATCTAATCAAAACTATATTTATCGATAGACGAATCAATGGTTTATATCAAACAAAAAAAATTTACTGCTTAAACAACCAAAATTTATTTGAAGAAAATTTAAAGCCGTTTTCTGTGTTTAGCAATGTTATGTCTTTCTGGAACAAAACGAGATGCTGAGTTTCGTAATCTCTCATCTTATTGTAAAAAGTGTCCTCGATCCGAATTGATTCTCAGAAAATCAATTTGATCTATATTTGAGGTATTCTTCCTAAGATACTCAACTAAGCTAAGATTTTCAAGCCATTTTAGCTTGATCAATACCATCGCATTTTAAATTCAAATATAAACTATTTTTAAGACTTTTTTTATAAAAAATGTTGATTAGGAGTTTCTCTATCTGTAAATTTTCCTTTGAAACAAAACTGAACTCATCCTCATCCTAAAAGGAGAATAATTTCTATATTCAGTTTAGAATTTTTCAGAGGGTAAAATCGACCGATTTCAACAAAGACTAACTAAACAAGTAGTATTGACAAATATGATTTCAGAGTTAGATAGACCACATTCGAATCTATATACTCCGATAGGTTTTCCTTCTCTGACAAGTCTAAACTGTGAGAAGACGAGAACAGTAGTGTACTTCGTTAGAGAAAACTATGGTCTATTATTCAATATAAAATAAAAAAGTTTCAGTGCTATAGGAAATAGTAAAAAGCAAACTAGACAATAAATGGTCTGAAAATTGTTGAATAAAAAAATGTTTGATGCCACTTTTCTAAATCTATGAAATTTTTGAACAAAATTCAAAGTAAACAAAATGAAAAGTTTATGATTGAATATAACAATCGATGGTTTATCCAACTGGTTGAAAAGAATAAACTTGTGAAGTTCTTTTTAAATCTGAAAAAGTGAATAGAACTATTAAAAATAAGATGATTATCGTCTATATATAAAATTATATAATATGAATCGAGTTGAATTTAAATCTCTAAATTAATATTATTTTATTTAATTAAATAGACGTCAATGGACAATAAATGATTTTGAAATCGGTGCACCATTAGGTCGAGGACGTTTTGGTCATGTTTATTGTGTACGAGAAAAAAAAAGCAAATATATTGTTGCTTTAAAAGTAATTTAATTATAAATAAAATAATATTTTTTTTTTTTTTTATTAAATATTTATCTATAATAGGCGATAATTAAAGATCAAATATCAACTCCTCGTTTAGCCAAACAATTAATAAGTGAAATATCAATTCAAAGTCGTCTTAAGTAAATTTATTTTAATAAAATTATTTTGTTATTTAATTAATTATTATTTAATTAGACATCCAAATATCTTACGTCTTTATGGATTTTTTCATGATGATCAACGAATTTTTTTATTACTTGAATATGCACCTGGTGGAGAATTATATAGACGTATGCAAAAAGATAAAATTATACAAGAAAATCAAGCTGCTGGAGTATATTTATATTATATTATATTTGATAAAAAGAAAAACAAATTTTATTTATTTAGTATGTTTATCAACTTTGTAATGCATTATCATATCTTCATTCAAAACAAATTATTCATCGGTACTTTTTTTTTCAATTTTACAGAAAAAAATATTTATTTATTTTCATTTTTTTTATTATAGTGATATTAAACCAGAAAATATTCTTATTGGAGTTTATGGAATTCTTAAATTAGGTTATTTTCTTTTTTTTTCTACATAAACAATAGTTTTAGAAATTTTTTTTTTCTTTATTTTAAAGCTGATTTTGGTTGGTCAGCTGAGAGTAATCAAGCAAATAAGTTTGGTTTTTAAATAATTAAATAAAAATAATTATTTTATTCTATATATAGACGAACAACTCTATGTGGAACATTAGATTATTTAGCACCAGAAATGCTTAATGGTAGTGGATATGATGAAAAAATTGATCTTTGGTGTTTAGGTATATTTACTTATGAAATGGTATTTTCCTTTTTTTTTTATTCGATTTTAAATAAATAAATATTATATAAAGATTGTTGGTAAACCTCCATTTGATAGTCAAAATCAACAAGATACAATACGACTTATTCGAACAAATCAATTATCATTTCCATCAACAATATCAAATGATGCTCGTCATCTTATTAGTCAAGTAAATATAGATAAGATTATTTTATAAAATAAATAAATATAAAATTTAGTTAATTCGTCCTAATCCATCTGATCGTATGCCTTTAAATCAAGTTATTCAACATCAATGGATTATTCAATATGCAAATATTAAATCAATTGATGATAATTATCAAAAGGTTTATAAATCAACATTTTATAATTCAAATACATAACATTTTATATATTATATAAATACATTATTATTATATTTATTTTTCTTATCTTATCACAATTCTTCTTTGCTTTATCTCTTCCTCCTAGATTTCTTTTTCTCTGTAAACTTCAATTAACAAATAAATATAGAATATCAATATATATATATATATATATACATATAGAGAGAGAGATTTTTTGGATTTTAATAAGAAATATTCAATCAATTAAATATCATTACGAGGCTTTTTTTTATGTAGAATTGAGAATAAATAATTAAAAACAAAAAAAAAGATTGATATCGAATAGAAGAAGAACGTCATAAATGTCGAATGGTTGTTGTTGTTTGTATTGG